CCTAGTTGCTTGAGGCTCTTGACAGCTGGGTGACCTGCTCAGCAGCTTTTGAAAAAATGTTGCTATACAAAGGCAGTTTTTTTTAGCCCTTGAACCACCTTGTAAGCACTTTTTTTAAAAACAAAAACCTTAATATTTCTACATATTCACATTTCTTTCCACTTTAAAATCAGCAGAGAAATGGAAGGGCGTGGACTTTGCTACATTCCTAGGCAGAACAAGGACAGACCAGACTTTAATGGGTCCATCTGACCCTAGCTGTTGCATTCAGGTCCTGCTTTCAGACATCTGGTTGGCCACTGTGAGGACAGGATGTGGGCTAGTGTCGGGCTTCAGGGAATTGTCTTCCTCCCTCGTGGCAGTAGATAAGCAGAACAAAGGAAAATGAGTCTTCTTACCAGTTAGAAACTTTAATAATCACAGCGAGAGAACAAAGAACACATCTCTTAGAAATGGCGGTGCTCCCAATTAAGCAACCCATCCCCTGTCGTCCCTATTAATCTACGTCACCTTTACGTCTTGTAATCTGAGCTTGTACCCTTCGTGCTTTCTGTTTTGCCATTTTCTGAGCTCTCCTTGATTTTGAAGAAGGGGTGTGCGTGTGAATGCTGTCCAGAGACTGTGAACCTGTTAAGCCTCCCTCTTCCAGTGTTCCTTTTCTTAGCTGTTCCCCATCCAGTACATCCCAGCTTCTGCCTTCTGAACTATGTCCCTCTGCAAACCACTGTTCCAAATCTATACTGTCCTCCTGCTCTTGGGAAGATTCAGGATCAGAATCAGAAGCAGAGAGAGGGGGTGGCTCCCACCATTTCTGCTCAGTGCTGCCCTCCTCAGCATGGTCCCTGACAGCTCATTAGACTTGTGGCTTTTATTTATGCAGCGCTGTTTCAGACTGCAATGCATCTGGCCCAGACACCACCTGCTTCTGGATGAACAAATGGACTATCTGAGTACAGAGCTGGTGTTCACACAAGGTGATTTTTAGGTGGCACAGCGTTGTCTAGAGAGAGAATAATGTTTGCTATAGCAACTTTCTCTCCCAGTGTGACTTGGTGGTGACTCCTACACTTTGGTGACTGCATCAGGCAAGTCTCTAGGGAAAGGTCAAGGGGCCAGCAGCCGATCTGAGCATTAGTGAGAGATTGTGGGCAAGTAATCCCAGACATTGAAGATGTAAGCATTTGGTTGGGTGACCTTTTTTTAGGATTTTACCCCAGGAAATAAACTGCCACAGGGGCCGGATTAAGACAACCGGCGGGCCGAAACGGACTTTGGACATGCCTGCTTTAAGGAGTCCAATGTGCTTTAAAACTGAACAAGCCTTGTGTGCCATCTTAAGCCCTCAGACTTTTCCAGCTCCTTGTGGTGTCCCTCTCTCCTCATCTTGTTTAATGAAAGAAGCATTCTCAGCCAGCCAAGACTCACTGGGAGCTCTCCGAGGTGCTGATCAGGCTGCCTGGATTTGTAAGCTTTTTGATTATCCCTGTTGTGCCTGTATCTGCCCTGACTACTGGACATGGCAAGTAGAGTCAGGCAACTGTGACTATACCTAAGGGGTGGAGAGCCTCTGGACATGAGGCTGGATGTCACCTGCATGTCCTCAGGCCCTCTGAATTCCCTCAGGCACACCTACTGTTTAGAAGGGAGCAGCAGAAAGGGAAAAGGGGCTTCGATGTTCTGCAAAGTGTGCAATTGTCTCCTTCCTCTGTGAGAAGATCTGCTTCAAAGCACAGGGGGAAGCTTCTCAGTGCGGAGAGAAAATTTTGTTCCTAATAAATTTACAGAAAGCCATTAGCCCATTTTGTAGTTGCATACATGCAGGGGGTTTTTGTTTTGTTTTTTTAAAGTGCAATTGCATTTTGAATTTTGAGGTTTGTGAATAACGGCAAGACAGGGTTTGCAGTTCAGCTGTGCATTGGTGTTATTTACATTCTTCTGCTGTGACTGCTGAGTCCTTTTTTTGCCTTTTGTGCAGTCAGGACCACCGAGAGGTTTGTTTGTTTTAAAATTTAGTCATTTATAAATGTTTTCAAATAAATAAAGTTTGCTGGAGATCATTTTTATTTCTTTATTTTACAAACTTTGAAAAGAAAATCTATGCCAAAAATGGGAGGTGACACCTGAGTGAAATGACATGACACCGTTTCCATGGGAAATAGCTTTGTGTCTGTGCCTCAGTCCACATTTGGGTTCAGTCCTGCCCACTACTGGAGTGCTGCTCCCAACAGGTTTCCACAAGGTGAAAGTAGGACTTGGTCTGAAAAAGGTTCACTACCTTGCTGCACTTGCTGTGACTGTGCCTACCTAATGGAATGCAAAATGATGAGCATTGCAAAACAGGATTCTGGGGTGCTGCACTAAATCCTTGAGGTACGGCAGATTGAAATAAATCAAAATAAATAGCAAATACTTTGCAGTTCATTGACCCCTTTTATTGAGTCGGTTCTGTTGTTGAAATACAAATGTTCCTTGTCTAGATTTGTGTTTTGCCACCAATTCCCCCCCCCCCACTCCAGACACTGTGTCCTAAGTAGGTCAGATATCACACCGGGGAAGCTGAGGGGCCATCTGACTCGCATGGGGGTACGGCAGTAGTAAACAACAATGCAGAAAGCGGTTGAACACCAGACACACCAAAATGACACACAGGCCTCAGTTGCTGATGTCCCAAAGCTTGTTCACGCAGGAACTGCTGCCCAAGTAACACTGGGGCATTCCTGGGACATTGATATGTACAATAAGGGGCAGTTCAATGTGTGCCTTTCTTCGCTGCTGGAGTTCCTGAGTGGATTTAGCTGGCTCCCCAGGGTTCCAATGTCAGAACGGCGAGGAAAATACAAAAGAGAAGGGAGCCTTCACAATTCAAGGAAGGCTTTTGTGCTATCGGAGAATCCTGATTTGAACTTGCAGGCTTCCTTGGACTTGTGTTGCTTTGGCACAGTGGAGCAACGAGGATAAAGAGTGACTCTCCCTGCAGTGGTACAACTTGCTGTCAATTATGAGGAGGATCCAAAGGTAACCCATGCACGAGGTGCCACCAACTTTTCATTTCTGTCTCCCTATCCAGAGTTCAATTGGGTGCATGGTCCTCTTCCCAGAGCTAGAAGGGCAGCTCATATTAGAGAAGCAAGTTAATGGGTTTACCAATTTTTGCTTATCACAGAGAGATAAAACTGTAATAACACAGATGAGCAATGCATGAAAAACCACAACATTCCCATTTCTGTTGCTGAGCAGTACTGATTACTTTGTGAGTAAGCTCTTACCAGCTGAGGTCTAGAGTCCTTTCCCAGTACTGTGGCATTCCCTTCTCCTCGCCTGGCAAGAGCTGGAATAAATTGACTGTTTCAAATCTGCAAATCAAAATCAAATATCTGTTCCTCTGAATGAATAAGTGAATTTAAATTTGGTAGCCAGTGCCATGTTCACGAAAAAACAAAATGAAACAAAAACAGTATCTTATGCAACGTGTTGTACTTCCTCACTTCAATACTTCCATTATCTGCTAAAGTGGAGTCTGATATTGGCTCATCAAAACACTAAGGGTGTGCACTGGCCACAAGATTCAGTTTTTATCTGTAGCTTTGGAAAGCAGCTCAGTCTGTTTTGGAGCCACTCTGTAGTTTTCCAGTTTGACTCATAATTTGAGACAAAATTATATTTGTTGAGAATGAAGCTCCCCCATCTTCACTAAAATGAGGAATCTATATATTTCTTTTCATATGAGTGGATGAAATTTGCAGGCATGTTAGTTCCTCCAGAGTGGATTAAGCCAGCCAAATGTTAGGAGATACAACCAGGGTTTAGTGTACTAGGGTTTAGTGTGTGTGTGTGTGTGTGTGTGTGTGTGTGTGAATGACACTTTTAAGTTTGATTTAGAAAAGAAAGAAAATGTATTTTGTTTTCTGCCAACGTGTGATGCAATTTGCAGGCATATTCTGCCTTTATGAGGGGATGAAGCACACCAAATTTCAGAATGATAGCTGAACTGGTTCCCCTGCAAGGGAAGCATTACCGTTTTGGAGTGGATACAGTAGTAAGCATAGGGGGTGATGGGGTGGGGGAAAGAGCATGAATCTTCAGGAAATACTAGGATGGGGGAACTGCCAATGCACTCCAGCAAGAACCTTACTACCCCATGTGTTGTTGGACTTTTGCTCCCCTGCTGGGGATACAACCCCTTTTCCCTCAGGGAGGGAGATATTACCATTGACTTGTATTGAAGAAGGGGTGATGCGGTGGGGGGACGGGACATGATCTATGTGAAGAACAAACTGTTTTAATATTTAGGTCAACATTTCTCCTTCAAATCACTGTGAATGGAGTGTCCTGGGAAAATAATTGACTGTACAGGGCATTTCCCTAGCCAGTTTGGTTTTGCTTTGATTAAAAAAGAAATTCAGTAGGTATTTTTGAGTGGGGACACACCCAAGTCCACAGAGCAACTTGGAAGTTTAGAGAGTCAGTGATCTGACTTGAGATGTCTTTTCAACAGTGCAGTCTGGTAATCCAGGAAGTATACAGAGCCACAGTAGAGCCCTACAAAATACCTAGCAAATAGTGAATGGAGGAAGCAACAGAATGAACACTGATGTGTTAATCAATGGCCCAACCATCTACAACATAACAAAGATATGTGCAGTGAACTTTTCAAAATTACTTAAAGCCAACACAGGATGATTAAGAAAACATCAACCCTGTAAAAGACATTCAATCAATGCCAGTCTTAAGAATTCACTTCAGAACCAAAGAAATTCACACCCAAATATCACTTTGCAGTTGATGCCTCTCTTGTGGGTACTCTGTTCATGGTTGTAGGGGGGACTTAACATTTGCAACTACTTGCAAAAGTCCACAATGTTTGTGGTCAGGCCTTTCTCCCCCTTCTGGCCATTCCTACGGTTCAGCTAAAATTCTGTAGTTGTGACCTGGGTCACTTCTGACTGCAGTTCATCCACTCTGCGTCCACGGGAGCCCCTCTTGTGGCTGTCCATGTCTAGTCATGCCGACTTATTGAGGACTTCAGAAGGAGTGCAAGTCGAGACACGCTCTCGTGTGGTGTTCCGGGCCCGGCTGAAGCTGCTCTGCTCCATGTGTGACCGGAAGGGGAGGCAGAATTCTCGGAAGCACCTCTTGAAGTTCTCATCCAAGAAAGCATAGAGGACAGGATTGAGGCTGCTGTTGGTGTAACCCAGGGCAATGCAAAAGTGGAGGCTGGCCATCACATAGGGGTTCTTCTTGTCGATGCCCACCAGGGTCCAAACAATGACAAAGATCTGGATGGGTGTCCAGCAGATGATGAAGGCAGCCACCACCACCAGCACCATGCGTGTGATACGGCGCAGGTTGCGGTCCTTCTCCTTGGAGCCTGAAAGGAGGCGGACACTCTTCAGGCGGAGAATCATGAGCCCGTAGCAGATGGTGATGACCAAGATGGGAACCAAGAAGGCAAAGATGAAGACGCAGATCTTGGTGACTGTGTCCCAGTAGATCTGAGGTTCAGGAAACTGCAGGAGACACATCACAATGCCACCTGCAGGAAAAGGAGAGGAAGAGAGTGAGGTGACTTTCACTCAGCAGATGGAGATACAGAGATAGAGAGGTGTCCAGCTTGGACATTATTTCCCAAGGCTCCGTCAGCACAGATACTGATTTTCACTGCCCTTTGTTCATTGAAGCAAATGTAGGAATATCAGGACTTGCTGATATTGTAACTCCTAACTCATGCCAACATAATGAAGTATTCCTAAGAGTGTCTTGTATATGACTCAATCAACTAACTGGAACTCACAAAGGGAATAAAGCAGATTTTATTTTTAATACTAATAGTAATATTAATAATACAAGTAATACTACTACTGATATTAATAGCAGCAGCAGCAACAGCAAAAACAATAATGCAAGTGGAAGCTCTTCTCCGTGAGCCTACAGGCTCTCTCCCTCACCACCCAAGCCTGCCTCCCTGTCATGGTCATGATTTTTCAAAGACTTTCAGCCCTCTTCTGGTGTTCTGGCTGTGGCCAGCCAAGGAAGGAAGGGAAGTTTACCTCTCTCTGCTCCAGCACACAAAAGGCAGGGTCAGTGCAAGACATTGCAGCTCCTGAAACTGCCTCTGCCACCTATCTTCCTGCTGCTTCCTCCAACCTAACTTGCCTGCTGGCCTGGTTGCTTGCTCACTGCTAGCAAAGAGGCTTTAAAGACTTAAGGTAAACGTTAAACAGTAACTCCAAGCAACTTCACCCACAGTGCCTCACCCATTTCTCAGAGCGAGGCACTAAGCACTCATGCCTTTGTTGGCAGCTACCATGAAGGCTGGATGAAAGCAGCAGGATGGGGCAGAAGTTGGTAGGGAGAAGTGGTGGCAGGGCTAGCGAGCTAACCAATCAACTGGCCAGCTAGCTGCCACTCCCAATTCGCCATCTCAGCCATGTGACTCATTGTGCTCCCCACATCCAGTAGGGGAATCTTCTCTGGCTCAGAATCAAAATCTGAGATGGAGAAGAATTTGGGACTTTCAATACGTGCTTTGTCTTTGAGGTGGAACAGTATAAGCCCATGAGACTTGCAGAAATAGGAGTCTCTGGAACCATGCTTTTAGATAGCTCCTTTTCCTGGAATTTAGACAAGGTCGTGGTGGTGGTATTTAGTGTCCTGTGGTTTAGAACTACCTTTTTTTAAACTTTGTTTCTCTTGGTGGTTCTTCAGATCCACCTCCTGACGACTAGATAGTTGAATTTATGTTAAATGGGGGATGTATAGTTTTAAATAGGCAACCAGGTTGGGGATATGGTGTGCAGGGAGGGTTCTTTAACCTTTAAGAAACCAAACACTATTTTATCCTCTGCCAAGGTCCCATAGGAACTATTTTGTGGAGGGAGACATTTTCTATCTATTGCAGGAAAGAAGCTGCTATTTGTGGCAGAACAGTTTCAAAACTGCTCTGAGAAGTCTGAGGAGGTTCATGACTGACACAGGGACTAGCCAATTAGTACTGTGGTGTGGGGAGGTTGCCTCATGCTTGAAACAGTGCTGTGCTAATATGCCTTCCACTGAAAACGGAAAGATCCAATGTTCCCTAAGCTTAGTCCAAGTCAGAAGGTTCTACGTGTGTCCAAAATGTGGTGAGGGAACTTTTACAGCAGACTCACTGATAAAATCACACACATCTATGTACAGCCTTATGGGCATCTCTGGCTGTGGTTTATAAGAAGAAGAAGAAGAAGATTTTGGATTTGATATCCCGCCTTTCACTCCCCTTCAGGAGTCTCAAAGCGGCTAACATTCTCCTTTCCCTTCCTCCCCCACAACAAACACTCTGTGAGGTGAGTGGGGCTGAGAGACTTCAAAGAAGTGTGACTGGCCCAAGGTCACCCAGCAGCTGCATGTGGAGGAGCGGAGACGCGAACCCGGTTCCCCAGATTACGAGACTACCACTCTTAACCACTACACCACACTGGCTATAGAGCAGGAAAGTGGTGTCTCTGCCTTCCAAAGCCCACACAAAGAAGAATTGACTGGAATGTGGCAACAAGACACTTGCCTTGAGATCGGGTGACAGCCATGATCATGATGGGCACCCCAATGACAGACGAAAGAACCCAGATGCAAACATTGATTAACTTCGCTTTTGCTGGGGTCCGGAAATCCAGGGCCTTGACTGGATGGCAGACGGCTATGTACCGGTCCACGCTCATCATGGTGAGGGTGAAGATGCTCGTAAACATGTTGTAGTAGTCAATGGAGAGGACAACCTTGCAGAGCAGCTCCCCAAAAGGCCAGGTCTCCATCAGGTACTTAGCACTCTGGAAGGGCAGTGTGCTAGTGGCCAAGGCATCTGCCAAGGCCAAGTTGAAGATGTAGATATTAGTGGCTGTTTTCATCTTGGTGTATCTGCAGGGAGGAGACAAAGGGAAAGGCGTGTCAACTGTAGATTATGCTTGCTCTCTGCCCAGGAAGCATGGGTGTTTCCTGGTCTGGATGAATAAAGGCCCCCAAGCTGTCAGATTTCTCAGCTTTGTTGTTGTACCCTTGTTTAAAAAAGAAAGAGTCCTGCAATTAACGATACAGTTAGTTCAAAATAGTATGTGAAATTCAGGCCCCTACCTCTGGGGATGGATTAATCATTCTTCCTCTGGTCCCTGTCAGTTTCAAATGCGTTCATTTATACATCTGGTCCAATAGCATTAATCTGCTGTTCTAATTAAAAAAATGCATGAAAATCCATATTTTTTTTTTCAAAAGTGCTGCATTGCTAAATCAGTACACATTTTTAATATGTGTCTCATTACCTTTTAAAGCAAACAACTACATCACAAAGCTTGGAGAAGTTGCCAAATGGCAAGGAGAGCTCTGCATTTCATGCCTGCTCATTAGTTCAGGAGGTGTCAGCCAGGTCAGTTCATACTGAACTTGGGAAAGAATTAATTCCATATGCATCCTCCCCTCCTAATCGCTTTTGGTAGGACTTTGTAAGTCAATACAAGGACCATGAACTTGGCTGGGTAGCAGATGGGTAGCTGATGCAGCTGTTTTAACAACGCTGTTACACGTTCTCAGCCAGAAACTCCCATCAGCAGTCTGGTCACTGCATTCTGCACCAGCTGGAGCTTCCAGATCAGACCCAAGGGCAGCCCCACACAGAGCGCATTGCAGTAAACTAGCCTTGAAGTTACCAATACGTGGACCACCGTGGTCAGGCTATGTTGTACTCCCACTGGCGGAGGCAGTTTGATTCTGAATACCAGTTGCTGGAAATCACAGGACAGGAGGGTGATCTGGGGACCCGAGGTTGGGAAAAGCTGGACTAGCCTTTAGAATAAGGAGCCAGTGTGGTGCAGGGGTTAGAGTGTCGGTCTAGGACTCGGGAGACCAGGGTTCAAATCCCCACTTGGTTATGAAGCTCACTGGGTGACCTTGGGCCAGTCACCTCTCAGCCTGACCTACTTCACAGGGTTGTTGTGGGGAGAAAATGAGGAAAGGGAGAACTGTGTGCACCACTTTGAGCTCCTTGTACAAAAATAGGTGGATATAAATGCAATAAAATAAATGCAATAAATAAATGTTGGCACTGGAAGACCCTACTCCATGAAACCACCTGGAAGACCTGGAGACTGTTGCTGTTTATTAGCCCAAACTTGTTCACAGGGCTGTCAGGAAAGATCCAGTGTGTGTGGGGGGGGAGGCCACTGAGCCCTTTGGAAGAAGGATGGAATGAAAATGCAATATATTTTTTATTGAAACATGGGGAAGGAGAGCGAAGAAATGACTATAGTTTCTCCTCAGCAGGCTCCTTATTGTTCTGCCTCCTTCCCTCATTTTTCGCCTTTATTCTTTCATATCCTTCCTTCCCACATTAATCTCTCCTAGAGGGAATATATCTGACCAGAACTTTGATTTTCTTCTCTCTTTTTTACCACCAGGATCCATTTTCTTCATTTTACTGTCTTGGTGAACAAGACCTTATCCATTAAATATGGATTTGAGTGCTTAAATTATTCAAGGAAGCAAAGGGCTCAAACGAGTGCCTAGATTTCCCTCCATCATTGCAGGGGAAAAGTTGAACATCTCAAAGATGCCGCCGCCAAACATGCCCAGTAGTTTTTGCTGTCACATTGGAACCAGTGCTTTCTGTTATTCTACGCCAATATGCACACTTAAGAGCCGCCTGAACCACTAAGACTTAAATGCCGGTAAGTATGTGCCGAAATCTGGGTGGCATTTTTAAGAGGGTTAGAAGGGATAGTTTTGCATTTCCAGTAAATCAGCTGCACTACTCGAAAGTAAAGCATAGAACTGCAAGAGAACTTAGAGGTCAACTAAACCAACCCACTGTTTATTTTTGGAAGCTGACTGCTGCAGCAATCTTGAAAGGTGGCCCTCAAGCTTCTGCTTGAGAAACTTCCAATGAGAAACATTGCTTTCCACGCAGTCTGTTTTACAATTTCATTGTAAAAACTGCCATTATCATTAAACCTTGGAGGTTTTTTGTTTGTTTGTTTGTTTTAATTATATCCTGCATCAGTTATTCTTTTTCTTTCATTTGTCTAATTTTTTTTGGCCCTGTTCCTTCTTCCCATGAATATTGTTAAGGGCCCATTAAATCCTGGATATCGGTTTTCAAAAGCATCATCACCAGAGAGGTTAGAAAGCAAAGCAAAAAACCCAGGATTCAGTTGCTTTTGGAAAGGCAGCATTTACGATATACATATGAGAATGTTCCAGCATGTATCTCAGTTATTTTCACAAAGACGGGAGTGATAACAATATTGATCTCTCTGTACATTGTGACAAAATGACTAGGCTATCTTGATACACATGCACACCAACCATCAGGGATACACTTTAGAACAGAAAAATAAATAAGTACTGTTCCACTATTCAAGCCCACTCATGCAGTCATCAGATAGGTTTGTTGCATTTTGCCAAAGGCATTCATCTTAAGGCTTATCAGTATTTTCATAGATAACTTCTACCTGCTTCCAATGGGCATGTAGGAAGGACAAGAGGACTCCCTCCCCATCGAATAGCCACATTCATTGTCCTGATCCCAATAGTCCAGAATCCCTCTGCATGCAAGGAAGGATAGATTAATCTGCCAGTTTAGGTTTATCTCAGTTTCTCATTTTCCCAGTATAAAATTCAGCTCGCCACACTTCCACATTGGTTTGCGATTTTTGAAATTAAAAAATCCTCATTGAAATGTGTCGGCTTTTTTTTGCAGGCAGTTTCCCCTGATATAATGCATGTTCATGAATGCTTGTATTTATACACAAACTTTCCCCTAATATATGCATTCTTGCATATGCACATTAGAAGGAGATTTTTTGCAAAATTCTGAGAAGTGGAAATTCGGGATGGGGGAAATAGTTGGCTTTGTTTAGACCAGAGGTCGGCAACCTAAGGCTCATGGGCCGCAAGCAGCCCATGAGGGTAGCTTTACTGGCCCATGAGCTGCCCCCGAACTGAGCCACCCACTCGGCGAGTCCCCGCGCGCTGCACTAAACCGGTGCAGCGTGGCGGGGGGACTCTCTTCCGCGGCTCCAGAAATCACTTCTGCGCAGGCACGATTTTCAGCATCTGGGCATGCGCAGAAACAATTTCTGGCACCACGGACATGCGCAGACATGATTTCCGGCATCGTGCTGTGCCAGTCCAGCCCACGGAGGATCTCCGTGGGAGTGATCCGGTAAGCCTTGCCGACCCCTGGTTTAGACACAAGGGGACTAGGTAGGTTTGCCTTTAAATGTCAGCCAAACTGATTTTCTCTCTCATTCCTACAAGTGAGCACCTGTTGCGTTGTGTGTGTGTGTGTGTCCCTTGGCTGAATTCATATGTTAGAAAACAAACACAAGAAACACCACATTCCTTTTATGCTGCACTACCTGTTGCATTGTAGAACTGTAGCCTTTGGATAGTTATACTGCCATGCCACGCTGCATTTCAAACGGTCGTAAAGAGCTGTCTGTTGCGAGACTGGCCCCAGATTTCATCACGTGCAATTGCAAAATAAAATTTTCCGAGTTAACAGGGTTGCAAACTGATATTTCCTCCTCTAGAAACAATGATCACAGAAACGAGTGCTAAACGTCCAATAGATTTCACCAGGCTTCCAGAAGCGGCTTTTCCATTATGTAAAAGATAACATAAAATGCAGAAGTTAACAGGGAAGGAAATGTCAGGGGAAGGGAAGAAAGGGCCATCTGCATGCAGCCCCTTTCTATGCGTCGCTACAATTGCCCCTAACGGAAAGCACCTTTTCTGTCCTTGGAGAGCCCTGACTCACAACTACACAAACAAGGGCCTCTATGCATGCTGCTGCTGTTGAAGAGGTGACTGTTGGTGAGGCCCACATGCCAGTGGTGTGCAAGAACAGAGGCCAAAGCAGCAGCAATGTATGGTGTGTGTGTGGTTTCTGCACACACTCACACAGCCCTCTCCACCCAGGCAAGCGAGAGGCACTCACAGAGTTCAAAGGCATATTCCAGCCAGGCAAAAACATTCAAGGAGGGTGAGAAACAGGGCCAGTGAGGGTTGTGGCGGGGGAGGGTGTGGGACCTGAGGAGAGTCCCAAGAGCCAGGTAGAGAGGCTTGGGGGGCTGCATCTGACCCCTGAGCCTGAGGTTCCCCATCCTTCCCCTACACAAAAGCTACTTCAGCTCCAAGAAAGGTAAAAAGGTAAAGGACCCCTGAATAGTTAAGTCCAGCCACAGGTGACTACGGGGTTGCATGCTCATTTTGCTTTCAGGCCAAAGAGAGCCAGCGTTTGTCCACAGTCATTTTTCCGGGTCATGTGGCCAGCATTACTAAACCGCTTCTGGTGCAACAGAACACTGTGATGGAAACTAGAGCACACTGAAACCCCATTTACCTTCCCACCACATTGGTACCTATTTATCTACTTGCACTGGCATGCTTTCGAACAGCTAGGTTGGCAAGAGCTGGGACAGAGCAATGGGAGCTCACCCCATCACAGGGATTTGAACCACCAACCTTTTGATCAGCAAGCCCAAGAGGCCCGGTTGTTTAGACCACAGCACCATCCGCATCCAATAGCACTCCAATAGCACTATCTGTACAAGAAAGACTGATCCTTTTATAGGATTTTATGTTTAGGGGAGAGTAAAGGCTATTGTGTGAGAATTCATAAGGAAGAAGCATCAAAATTGCTTCAAGAGTTATCTCCCCTTCCCTCCGCCCCCACTTTCCTTTGGCAAAAAAGAAATCAATTTCCCTCTATCTTTGCAGCTGCAGCACCAGCCACACATTCCTCCTTCATACGGATTTCTGCTCTTCTTGTCTCTTCTTTTTAATCTAATTCCCCATGACTAAATAATTATGATCAATTGTTTTATTGTCTGCCAGGTTTGCTTTCAGAAATCTCTTTGGTAACCATGGGGAACTGATCGCCTGAAAATTTCCTGATTAACAATAATCGCTTGAAGTTTTACAGTTCTCTCCAACGATGTTACAAGCATTGCATAACAAAGCCCACAACATTCCGATTGTTTTGCCTGCAAGAAAGAAACAGGGGGGCAGGCAAGCAGACGGGTTTGGGGTGTGTGTGTGTTATTGCTGAATCTAGTAACAAAACCAGAAGGGACTTGTTCCTTCCAAATGCTCAGCTTCTGGTCTTTTAGTGTTTGCGTTTAAATCTAATCTTAACATGACTGTGCCACCCTGCTTGTAAATGTTGCCAGGGCGGCTCACACAGCTAACAAATACAACCAAGACAGCACCAAATAAGGGAGAGGTCCGGACTTCCGGTGGAGGCGCCTCCAGCAATGGCAGAATTCCTCTGACCGGGAGGAATCTGCTCCGTGGAAATCTGGGTCTGGCCGCCACGGCGAAGGCGGAGACCCATTAAAATCACAGGCGGGAGAAGCCTGTGAACGTGGGATTCGGCGGGCACCTTTTGCGCCTCCCCCACTCGTGGGGAACCCCAGTTTTTGGGGCTCCGGAGCGACGTGGGGTGAGCGGCGCGGTGCATCGAATCGTCTGCTTCTTCCACGGAGCGAAGCCACATAGCTGTTGCCGGAGAGCGCTGACCTTTTCCTGTGGACAATTTGACTTTAAAGTAAGTGAGTAGAGCTGAAACGGAAGAATTGGATCTCTAAAAGTTTAATTTGGTATCGTAACGGGGAGGTTCAAAACAGGAAGTCCGCCTTCCCTTTTTGTAAATAGACTGAGGCAATGAAGTTGCAAGCTGGAGTCCTGGAAGGTCTTTTGTAAAAGATCAAATTTCCAACGGTAAAGAACATTAAACCCCTTCTTGGAGGCAGGAGAAGAGAGGGGGAAGTTGCGGATTGAGTATGCCTGCGGGAGAGAGCGAAGAGGCTTAAAACACCGCCGCTCTGACCCTGGAAACGGGCTGCTAGTAAGACTGATTTTTTCCCCCTCTTTTTTTTGGAATGTTCATTGACAGCTCTTAGAACGTTCATTGACAGCTAGCTAAATAAGAGAAATACATTGTTTCTACTGTTTCCGGCTGTTTTTAAAAAAGGAGGAAAGTAACTGAAAATTGAAACTAACTTTGGATTATTGAAACTGTGTTTAAAAGAGGACATATTGACCGATACAAATACAACCTGTTTTCCCCTAGTGGAAGCTTTTGAAATTGGTTACTTTATAGGAGCTGGGCTAGGGGAATTTCCAGCTGCAAGATAAGAAAAGTGTGAGACTTTGGAATTGACCTTGAATCTCTTAAGTGTTATGGCAAACGGAAAGGAAAAAACAGACGGGATGTCGACAGAGGAGGCCTTAGTGGCTGCATTATTGAAAATAAACGATTCGCTGGAACAACTCCATAAGAAAACAGATGCGATAAATGTGAAATTGGATGTTGCAAATATTGAAACTGATTTAATTGTAGAAAGTTTAAATAATTTGGGACAAAAGGTGAATACCAATTCAGAAACCACCCAGAAACTGATACAGGAATCTACTCTGATACGGCAAACTGCAGATGAAGTCAGGGAAAAAACCCTTGCTGCTGAATTTAAAGTAATACAACTGGAGAGGAGAGTCCCATCCATACAAAGACAACTTGATGAACATAAGCTGACATTCGTTATGATTGAACTTAAAGAAGAACGGATGAATTTGAGGACCAGAGCCCTATCTGAATTGGAAAAGGAAAGCCTGACAGAGTTTCAGGAGGCAACAGGACTAACATTGGTTGAGAAAGAGAGGTATTTGGGGGTTAGTATGACCGCCAAAAATGTGAATCTGCTTAAGGACAACTGTGAAGGATGTTGGATTGAAGAGAAGGGGGATTTGGAAATATGGACAAATCAGAAGTTGTTACTGTTGGGCCGAGTCATTGTGGTGGGGATGAGGGCTGCTGTGTTGCTGGGGATGTTGCTTTTGTTTCAAACATTGCAAGCTCTAGATGGGATGGAGGGTCTTAGGAGGTGGCAGAGGGATGCTCCTAGAGTTGTTTGGCAGGGCAGGAAGCCTCGAGTTAAGCTTAAGATATTGATGGATGCTAAAGAAGGAGGTGGACCTGCCCTGCCAGACCTTTAAACTTCGTTGTGAACCATCTGCCTTTTGCTGGTTGAGAGAATGGTTGCTTCTTGAAAACACTGAAGTGTTGGACAATGGCAGACGAAGTTGATGGACTATAGGGAATTGGCGGAAATGACTGGCAAGACCCGAGACCAGGGTGAAGAGTCGGTGGAAGAAGACTGGAAAAAGTTTAAAGACTATCTATAGAAATATTGTAAAATTAAGGAATGTTAGAAAAATGTTGGAATGAAATTACATGGCTTTAGTAGAAATGTCATAAGGAATTAAGTATAAATAGATTAATAGAAAATTAAAGGAAAAGTATGGCAAGAATGTGTTAAGATAATTATAGAACAGAAAACAGAGTAAGATGGAAAGGAATTGCTGAAACAAATAATAGAAGTGGAATACAAAAAGGGAGGTGTGAGGAAGTCGCTGGAAATAAGTGAATGAAATATAAGATACTGAAAATGTTTGAGGTGTTTTTAAATTGTTTTTGTTTGTTTTTGCTTGATTTGTTAGTCCATGTAGCATTTTTTTATTGTATTGGTATTGTTTTTTCTTTTTTTTCTTTTTCTCTTTGTTTGTAGTGCTGTGTTGGAAATTTTGAAAAAGTAATAAATATCATTTTTTTAGAAAAACCACAAATAAGGGAGAGGTCCAAACCCCCTTTGTGATGGGATAAGGAGCAAGATGTGGGGGAGCAAGAGGTTGGATTGAGTGCTGGTATCTTTCTGCCCAGCTCTAATGCCTACAGAGCGATGCAAGCACCATTCTGCTAGGACAGAGTGTGCTCTCCAGCCACCTAATAGTTGGAATGCTAGAAGTGCTGCTTGTGGGGTGCCCACCAGTTTGCCAGGGACTGGCTGGATGATGAGGATTAGTGGGAGGCGCTAGCTGGAGGAACCCCCCCCCCCCGGAAGCCTCAGAAGAGGAAGGATCAGAGCCAGGGCAGTGGTGGTGGGAAACGGAAGACAGGTCAGAAGATGAAGTTGGGGGCAGAATGGTTGGATGCTGAACAGGCGACAGGCTTGAGTGAGGGAGAGGATCCAGAAACTCCAGCACATTTAGTGAGAAGTGAAAAGATCACAGGGAGGGAAACAATGGGGCAGACCCATAGAGTTTTGCATATGCAGGACAGCAATCAGTAATGAAATATGACAGGCAGGGAGACATAGTCTTATACTGAGTCAGACCATTGGCCCATCTAGCTCAGTATTGTCTACACTGACTGGCAGATATTCCTGGAGATTTCAGGGAGGGAACCTGGGACCTTCTGCATGCAAAGCAGGTGCTCTATCACAGCTATAACCATTTCCCACTTTGCCATCTCAGGCAGACATGCCATCTAACAATAAAGTTGTCAATGGAGGCAATTTATGCATTCCACTGCAAATCAATGTCACTGAGTGGCATTTTGGGAAACTCTCCTCTGGTGTCTTAGGAACATCTTGCTGACAAGCAATGCGGGGCGGGGGGGACAGACTCAACTGATCATGGCTGGACTTCTTTCTTTAGGGATTATGTGTCAGCTTGATTTTTATCTATCGCTGCCTTCTGCCCAAGGCCAGTAGAAGACATTAGTCCTGCTGGCTGAAATCCAGGCTGAAGGCTTTTGCTGGTGAGATATTATCAGACTAATACTATGAACAGTATCAGTCAATTGCCACAGAAGAAAAGAACACCTGACACTTGGGACATGACATGATCTACCTCTGAACTGTACCAAGAGAAGAGATCATAATTATATTATTGTCATCTTCTTTGTTCATCTTTACCTCTCTCCCCAGTCTCTTCTCTTTAACACTGAATGAATAATAAACAAAGGGTGGAACTAGCACAGGGGGAGCCAACAGATGTTGTTGGATGGCAACAAGTCCCATCAAACTCAAGCCAGCATGGTCAAAGATCAGGGATGATGGAAATTGTCATCCACAACATCTGGGGGGGCGGGTACCATGTTGGATACGCCTGAATGAGAAATACTAGATGCCCAAGACATTTTTTCTGCTTGAGGGGAAGGACAAGGTGGTCCCATCTCCCTGCTTTCCATGTACACAACCCAGCTGGACCATCACCTGGATTTTAATTCAACATTATCTCCACTGCTAGATGCAGTTTGCCTCTGAATCCCAGTTGCTGGTAATCACTAGTGGAGAGAGTTCAGGTCGCGCCTGCAGGCTTCCCAGAAGCATCTCATTGGCCACTGTGAGAACAGGATGCTGGACTAGATGGTCCTGATCCAGCAGGGCTTTTCTTAAGTTCTTACATAGCAGCATCAATTTTCCAGACCTGTCAGAGATATCTAAACTTATGCTCACAAGCATACAGGTTTCAAAGGACCTAAGGTTGCTTTTTCTTTCGTCTAATATGCCAATCTTTCTAATTAATTTCCTGACTATTACCCACCATTTGCCACCGATAGGTAGAACTCCCTCCCTAACATTCCCTCCAACACAGGCAGCATTTAAAGTCTGCATCAAGGTTAAGTTCCAAACCACAGAGTTGAACTTGAGTCGCAATTAGTCTCTCCTGTAATGAAAAGGCTCAGAGCAATAAAGGCAGCAGCACCTCCTCCTGGTTTGACCTGATCGTCCTCCCTCCCTCCTGCTGCTCAGAGTGAAACAAGTAGTGTAGAAACCAGAACCATGCGATTGCGATTTGAAGAAGCAGCAGTTACAGGATGCAGAGATACAGGATACAGGGTTCTTTTGTTTGCATGGCAGTAAAGATACCAGATGTCAGAGGAAGGCTTGATAGGCGCCGAACAGTGTGATCTCATAAACTGGGGGTGAGGAACCCATGATCATCCATATGTTGTGGGACTCCAGCTCCCATAAGTCTCTGTCAACGTGGTCAGGGCTCAGGGTGATGTAGCTCCACAGCATCTTGAAGGCCAGACATGCCCCATCCCAGCTACACAGAATTACTTAAAAACAAGTCCCATTGAATTGAACATGATTTACTTCTGGTTAATTTGGTATGGCAGGATGAGGAACCTATAGCTCTCCAGATCTTGTTGCACTACAACTCCCATCATCCCTGACCATTGGCCATGCTCTCTGGAGATGGTGGGAACTGCAGTTCAAAAACACATGCCCCACGCCTGGCTAGGACTTTCTGAGCTCCCTCACTCGCACTTCACTTCAGAGTCCAATTAAACACTTGGGATGTGGCCTCTATGAATTCTGGATCACTCCTAGGAGACCTTGGCTCACACCCCACCCCAAATCTGAAGCAATATTTGGAAAGCCTGAGCTTTGGTTCTCTGTTTAACTAACCTATGCTTTGGATTAATTGCCCATTCCAAAGCTGGAGGGAGGCTTGCAGATTCTAGGAAGTCTCACTGTGCCCAGCAGTGCCCAGTGGGCACTGATCCATTAGGGCAACTAGGGCTTAGCCCAAGGGTCAACATTTTTTCAGGAGGGGACCAGTCCACTGTCCTTCAAACCTTGTGGGGGGCCAGACCCACTTCTCCCAAAAGCACCCTCCCTCCCGAAAGGACCTCCCCCCACTCACACCGCAGCTGCTGACACCACCTCGTCTTCAGCAGCATTGTCGTCATCCTCTGCCTTGACCAGGGGTCCGCAGGGCGCAGAGCCCATGCCGCTGGCCTGGGCAGTGGAGGCAGCATCCCCCCCACCACCACTTCCTCCCACTTGGCTCTTGGCCACATGTGGCCACCTCAGCAGGAAGGAAGGGGCGTCACCCAGAGGCTGGAGCTTCCTGCAGCCATTCCATAGCCGCACCAGCATCATGGAGGTCAGTCCCCACACGGTGAGGCCTCCACGCCGTGCCGGTTTAGCGTGGGGACTGACTGAGCGGGTGGGCAGCAGGGTCTGCAAGGTTCGTGGGCCACATCAATGAGCCCAGTGGGCCGCACCTGGCCCCCAGGCCTTAGTTTGCCGACCTCCAGCTTAGCCCTGCTGAGCGAAATGTCAAGCTTTTTATTTAAGCCCCCATCCCTCGACAAATCTCATCACCACACTCTTTCCTGTTCTGTTTATCCTTCCATAATCAACCGGAATTTAGAGACTCCTCCGGGAGACATTTCCATCAATGGTCCTGTCAAATAAGAGAGTTCACTTTCACAGTTGCCAAATTTCATATATGATGGAAAGTTTCAAGTTTTACCCTTCTACTCATCAAAAACATTGCTTTTCATTTTTAAAACTCTGGTTTCTAATTTTTGTGTATATTTTCAGCTTGAAATAAACTGACAGCCTGTACTTAAATATTCCTGTTATGTTCAGAATCTCTCTCTCTCTCTCTCTCTCTCTCTCTCTGATTTTGCAAGCACCAGTCTTAAAAGATTCCATTTGTACACTCCTTATTGGTTCCTGTCTGTGCTTCTTTGCTTAATAGGGACTCAGAGATGAAAGCATCTCTGCAAAAGGTGAAAATCCACCTGTAGACGTTAGCTAGAGACATTTTAGCTGTCAGACAGATGTGCCCAATTAACACCTGCAACTAGATTGGGAATGATCGTCTGACTTGTCAGAGATGGAAAAATAAAAGATCCTACCATCAAGTTTCATAACTTATTTTTAAAGGATTTGTGGTCCAAATCTATTTTTAATTACCCATGTGAAAATGTTCAAGTTAAATTGTTATGCTAAGGGAATATCAACCCTCCACCAAGAAAAGGTGCATTATATCATGTCACTCATGTCGTTTTGCAACTATTTGGCTTCTTGTATCACTTGGTCTACTCCTAGTTATGGAAAGTAGCAAAGACTTGTTCAAGACACTGATGTCTTCCTCATTAGTTTCTGCAGCTTCTGAAATGTCAACAAACATTTCCTCCTCACTTGCAAATCTGTCATTAATGAGGACTAGAATATTGCTTCCTAGGTCTGGGGAAGAATTCTAGCTTGGTTAGCATTCTAATGCAAACCTACCAAATTTCCCGAAGCAATATGTGAACTGAAACAGAGCTATCCTTCAGAATTCACCTTTCTCTGAATTTCATGATGCAGTTTTGCAGCAACAAAAAAAGGTGTGCCAAGTTTGAATATAAATGCATTCATGAAAATAGCATACACAAATTTAGGGGGGATTGCTTGCAAAAATGTATGCATTCGGGAAAATTTGCACTAGCACACTGATTAATTGTCATGAGGGCTTAAAAAAAAATCCCAAAATTTGACAACTGATGTGGAAGTGTGATGAGCTGAACTTAAAAGAATGGGGAAAAATAAGAAGCTGAAATTGACAAAATTATCCATATTTATGCCAACTACCCTAAACCAAACCGGAATACTTAGAATGCTTTAAGAAGAAGAAGAAGAAGAAGAAGAAGAAGAAGAAGAAGAAGAAGAAGAAGAAGAAGAAGAATGCTCCTTCCAATGTGACCATGCAATTGTGCAATACATATAACCAGAATGCATGTGGCTAGCAGCTATTTGAGAGATACACAGCCCCAGACCAAATAGACTGAGGCTGTGTACACACCATGCATTTAGTGCACACACACCTCCAAGAATCCTGGGAACTGTAGTTTTCCCCACACAGCGCTACAGTTCTCAGCACCCTTAATAACACTTCCCAGGTTCTGGTTCTTTTTTTTTTTTTTTGGGTGGGGGTGTTATGTGCTTTCCCCCTTCTATCTCCAAAATGAAAAGTGCTCATATATATTTTTTTGCATTCAAGCAATTTTATGATCGCACCACCACACCATGCAGGATTTCATATGGGAAGCAGAATTTTAATCTGGCATGCTAAGAACTGGAGTTTTGCTGCTGGTGATTTTAAAGGCAGTTTCCTAGTTCTTAAGAATGCAATGAAAAATGTGCGTAGGCGATGTTTGTCGAAAGCTTTTGTGATAGGGCTCAGGAGTTGACATCATCAGGCACCTGCCAAGGCCTGTGCCCCAGCAAGGGACCCACTGTTAACCTTAGAGCTCTCTTGCTCTGCTGTTCCTCCCTACAGATAGTTCTGCCTGCACATCTCTCCTCCATGGTGGAATGCGCAGTGACAGGAGCACAGAGAGCAGGCAGCTGTCTCTGTTCCGCTTTAGCCTTTGCCTCTGGGTGGCCAATCACATTAGACCCAAGAAGAAGAGGGCAAACGAATGATGGGCAGGGCTGGCTGTGGAAAGGAGGAGTGGGGCAGGACACTTGCTCAAGGGTCTCCATGAATATGGAATTGGCAGGGTACCTTTGAATGATGCTCTTTCATCTGGCAACTCTCCCTAAAATTGCCGTGGTATGAGTCCAGCTGTGATGATGCTCTGAATGTGGGAAGAGCCATCATGTAGTGGCAGAGGGTCTGCTTTGTGTGCAGAAGGTTCCAGGTTCAATTTCTGGCATCTCCGGGCAGGGCTGGGAATATTCCTTATGTAAAACCCTGGAGAGCCACTGCCAGTCAGCGCAGACAATACAGAGTGAGATGGGATGAACCTGACTCAGCATGCAGCAGCTGCCTAAGTTCCTAACGTGATCTGATTCAGTGGGATATTTTTGGCTCAGGACTCCGTACCAGGCAGATCTCTAGTTTGAGCTAAACCCTGCTGATATCACAAACTTGTGGAGTAAGCAGAGGTAAGATTAGCAGGAGCACAGAGATAACAATCAGGCTGAGCCATCTTGCTGCACCTAACTGCAAGATTATTTGCCAAATAACTCTTCAGGGCCACAGCGAGCAATGTTCAGTGCTGATGTGTACATCAAAAAACAGATTGTGAGTTGGAGCTAATATCTTGGTACATGCACTGAATACATTTTCCACAATATTTTCCTGGATGAAAAGGATAGTTGGCAGCTGTTTGCAGTTCATGGCATTCTTATTCTAAGGCTATGGGCTCAAGCATAATAATAATAATAAAAATGAGCTAGACCTTGCAAAACCTTTGTCCGTGCACCGGAAAAGGTAACGAATGGATGCATGGATATTTGGGGGAATCACAGCTAAAGAATCCCTGACAGATGGAGTCACATACTTTTATGTTTGGATTCATTGAGGGTACCTTCTGGATTTGCATTTCTTGCCCTCTTGTGCAACAGACCTGCTTCTGTTTAAAAACAAAACAGCAGACTTTTGCAGTAAGGAAAGTGATGGGGGAAAAGACGTGCTGGAAAACACCAAGTGCTTGATGTGGTATTGTGTTCCCTCCCTACAAACAAATCAAAACGGGATTTCCAATAAACAGCCGTCATCACAAAACCTCCCCACAGACTTTCTGCAAACAAATCAGGATAAACAGGTTGTCTGGAAGTGACTTGACTGGGGACCAGTATAAGCCTTGAAGCATATGTGCTTGGTTTCCTGCTAGAAGCGATGAGATGGGCTGCTATCCAGAGCTGCCTTGGAAACCTTCATGAGTTTTACTGTTGTTTTGGGTGTCAGGTCTATTTCCTGGCAGCTGAGAATTCTATACCAGCCAAGGACGATATGAAGGACAAGGCGGGCAGGAGACGAAAAGGCAGTTTCTATGATGGAAGACTTCGAGAACTGCCAAGCATATGGAGCAGCTCTGCCCTTGTAACTGGCGTGTCCCTGATGTATCATGATTTGTAGTGATTAAGCAGCTAGTTAAAGACACAATGAATTTAGAGGCACATTTGGAAGGGATTTAAGATTTAAGGAGGCAGTGCAAGGATGAAGGAAGGCAATGATTTATTTATTTATTTTTTAAGCAGTGGTGGGGGAAATATGGCTCCAGAAGGTGTGGCCCAAAGTAGGTCCATCCAGCCCATACTCTTTCTTTCCCCCCCACACTCTTGAATGCAGGGTTGCCAACTTGAATAAAATATGGGGTGGGGGGCAGGTAAGCCCGGCCCCACATAATCAATCACAAGATGCAGCACATGCGCACCATTTGAATGGTAATGCTCATTAACTTGGGGGGGGGGTCTAGCCCCCTAAAAAAAATTATTGGGGGCACCAAAGGGACCTCCATACTTAGGAGTTGGCTCCTATGCTTATTATTTCATTTCATGCTGTGCAACTTTGTATTGTGCATGGCTGTTAACATGGAAATAAAATGAAACAGAATTGCATCATTGCTGCTGTTGCTAATGATAAACACTGCGGAAGATAAGGAGTGAGAATTTCCCCCTTCGCCTCCTCCTCAAGTGTTGACGTTTCCTAACAAGGCTCTTGTGCCTTGAGCAGCTGCATGGAAGACAGAGATGCCCCTTCCCTCCCATGCCCAGCTCATTCATCATGTTCTGATTGCACTATAAGCGACGGAAATGACTCTTCTGGAAAACATGAAAGTTCTCAGCTAGCTAAGCAGGACCAAAAAGATAAGAAGAGATGGAAAGAACAGTTGAGTGCCTGTGCAGGGGTCTTGATATGATCAAAGGTTCCTAGACAGAAAGATCAACCACATTAGAAGTAATGTAAAGAGAGAGAGAGAGAGAAAGTTGACATGCGTTCTTAGCTATTTGCAAATGGATCAGACATGGTGGCTATCGGATTGGATTTTATTTACTCTGACTGCTTCTCTTTCATTCATTCACTCTCTACAGATTCTCAATAATTATGCAATACACAGACGAATTACTTGCCCCGTGTCCTTCACTCACAGAAGAAAATGCGCCTTCGGTACCTCCAGATCAATGGATTGTTTTGTGGATGTATACCTCAACATGTCATTGAC